AATGAGAATTCCACTTCTGCTTGCCTCTGTGCAGATGCCCAGAAACGGCCTCCTGCTCCAAAGCAGCACATTGCTTGATTCCTAGTGAACCAGGCGTGGAAAGAAAGGCGCTGATGAAGATACTTGTTAGTTCATTACAGGGAGACTCTCAGTTATCAAAGGATTGAAAGCGGACAGTTTTCCTGGTCTCAGGGAGACCCCAGGAGAAAGCAGAATGTGTTTACACATGACTAAAGAAGCATTGGACTGCAAGGAGATCCAACCAGTCCATCCTGAAGGAGGTAAGTCCTGGGTGTTCATTGGAAGGACTGATGCTGAAGATGAAACTCCAGTACTTTGGCCATCTCATGCAAAGAGTTGACTCATTGGAAAAGACCCTGATGCATGGTGGGATTGGGGGCAGGAGGAGAAGGGGACGACAGAGGATGAGATGGCTGGATGGCATCACCGACTCAATAGGTATGAGCTTGAGTAAACTCCGGGAGTTTGTGATGGATAGGGATGTCTGGCATGCTGCGATTCATGGGGTAGCAAATGGTCAGACATGACTGAGCGACTGAACTGAACTGAGCTGAACTGAAAGAAGCGTTTAAAGCATAGATCGAGTATAAGATGCGTTTCCAACCTATTCGATAACATTTACTAAGAAAGGGCTCCTGTTCTCCTCACCTCCCAGGAGCCACATGGAGACAGAGAGCCTGGTGGATGAGGATGGTCTGTGCCTGTGACTTCAGACGTGGCATGAGCCCGAGAAAACCCTGAACAGCTTTGATGCAGGACCATTAAAGAGCCTGGGAACCTGCACTGCGTTCTCTGTGCCAGAGGCAAGCAGCCCAGCAACCTTGGACTGTTACCTCCTCCGGGTCAGGCCCCCTGCAGTGCTGCTGTCCCTGGATGTGCGCCCACCACTCCCGACCCAGAAGGAGAACTTCCATCCTCTTTCCTCAGCCTCACCACCCAGAAAAGAGTGCCCGTGGCCGTCCTTCCTGGGGACATGTCTCCAGTTCATCAACGTGGACGTGACAGGCCAGCCGGGCCTCCGGGAGCACAGACCGCGCTATCACCAGCCAATCCTGAGTCAGGGGGTCAGAGCAGAAAAAAGAAGAAAAGGGGGACGGAGGAAATGGCAGGTGTCAGCCAAATCATGGCCCCCAGCAATTTAAACAGCCGTGAATTTATGAGTGATATGAAGAAGCAAGATATGTTGGCGTTTAGGGGGAAAGTGATGGGGCTGCCCAGGTTGACGTGGTGGCTTCCTTTGATCACAAGCTGCCACATGGAGAAAAATCCCCTCACAGCCCCTGACAGACCCCGCCCAAGCCCACCTGTTTGTGCAAACCCCCAGGACAGTCCACACCAGGAGGGAACCTCGTGTGCACCGTGGACTCGGGTGATGATGCCTGCAGGTCCGCCCACTGTCACACAGGTACTAATACATCCGGTGCGGATGTTGATGGAGGTAAGGCTGTGCAAGGCAGGGACGGTGTGTGGGGGAATTTTTGCACCTTCCTCTCGGTCTTGCCATGACCCTAACTAAATAACATCAAGCCCCCTTTCAGTGTGAGCACAGCCAAGAAGGCCAGATAAGCAAGGTTTGCCACAGACCACAGGGAATGCGAATAATCTCAGTGGTATGGCCTGGCGATCTGTGTCCCCTGAGAACTTATGCTGAATTCTAAGAGGGGGGCTGGGGCTTTGGGAGGTGACGAGGTCATGAGGGTAGAGACCCCATGAGTAGGATCAGTGCCTTTATGAGAAGAGACCCCAGAAGCTCCCTTGCCCCCTCTGCCACATGAGGAAGCAGTGACTGCAGCCATCAATGAACGGGAACTGAGAGAGACCAACGCCGTTCATAAACCGCCATGTGTGGAAATTTTGCCTTCTGCAAATGCCAGCAACAGGAGAGTCAAGGGACCAGGGGACTGGTAACACCATCAGACCTTGCTGAATCCAACCCTGTGGTTTTATTTAAAAAAGAAAAAAGCACAAAGAAAACAAAAACCCAGATTTGGGAGGCACGGACGTCCACTCTGCCACACAGAGGCAGGACGGGCGACCCCATCACCCAGTTCATCATTCTGAGCTCCCCCTTGAAAGTTGGTGGGTTTCCCAGGACTTTGTGAGGCAATTTATAACCCATTTTGTTTTCAAAGCAGAGCACATAAAAGTGCAGATCAAGAGCGCTGCCTGGTATCTGATACACGGACGAGAACGCAGCTGAAAGAAGCTCTGCCTCGGAAATGTCATCATCCTTTTGATGTTTATTCTCTCTGTAAGAATTTTTTTAATCCTTTGAATAGGCTCTAATGAGAAACACATAGTTTTTAACTTATGACTTTTTTAAACTCCATTTGAAAAGACTAACTGAAAAAGATCAGGTCCTTTCAAGTGACATGTCTGTGTCTGCCTGATTTTGCTCTGTCTTAATTACAACATGCAAGGGTGTCAGAACTAAAAAAAAAAAGGTGGCAGATTAATGCTTTCTGTTGCTTAAAGTTTTTATCTATGAAACACACTGAGGATGTCTTCATTCCCATAATTGATCAATGTGCTCATTAATCTCTCATGGAATAAAAGCATTGGAATCGATTTGCTTAGAAAACTTCTGAAACGGCCTGAGCTGCCTGAATGATGTGCAGCTAAGCAGAGGGCCAGCAAAGTGCTTCTGGGTCATGAACTGTCTACTCACAGGCCACTCCAGGGAAGTCTCATTTCCATAATTGATCGATTTACTGATTTTTACCTCAAATTACATAAGTGCCTTCTAATTGATTGATAAAGTTTCGAAAACCTGGGCTGCAAGAGTGATTTCAAGATCAACAAAATGCTATGTGCATGGAAACCTTACCTGGAGTCACTGTGAGAAGAGAGAACATTTGCAGAGCCTCCTTCTTCACTGCCCTTAATCCGGGAGGATTTAGCCAGAGCCCCGTCCTGGGTGAGTCCTGCCCCCGAAGGGACTGGGCCCCATCTTATTCCACAGGTCAGAGACATTCCAGATGCACAGAGGTCTCACCTACAATCCTTAGCTCCATCAGGCGAAGAAGCTGGAATTCACACACATGGGAAGTTAGATAGAACCTCCACATGCAGAGACATGTCAACACCCTTCTACCTTGTTCTCAAAATGGCATAATATTGGCTTAAAAAAATCACCCCCTCTTTGAGTTCAGTTCAATTCAGTCGCTCAGTTATGTCCGACTCTTTGCGACCCCATGAATCGCAGCACACCAGGCGTCCCTGTCCATCACAAACTCCCGGAGTTTACTCAAGCTCATGTCCATTGAGTCAGTGATGCCATCCAGCCATCTCATCCTCTGTCGTCCCCTTCTCCTCCTGCCCCCAATCCCTGCCAGCATCAGGGTCTTTTCCAATGAGTCAATTCTTTGCATGAGATGGCCAAAGTACTGGAGTTTCATCTTCAGCATCAGTCCTTCCAATGAACACCCAGGACTGATCTCCTTTAGGAGCACATTGCTAAAATTAGAGAAAGTGGCCCATTTTGAATATACTCACTAGGAGATCTCTTTCACATTGGAGAGTCCAGTGTGCTCACATCCACTGCTCTTATTTGATATATTTATTTCAAATGTCTAAACAGGTTTCTGCCTCTCTAGAATCTGAAGTCTAACTTGTGATGACCTAGAAATCGGAGAGCCTCACAGATTCAGGACACCAGCCAAGAATAAAATCTGCATCTTTAAAAACAAAGTAAGCAACAGCATCCCCAAGCCAGTGTCCAGGGCCCAGCTCCTCAGCTGGGACCACGAAGCCGGGAGGCCGTGTCCTGGCGGCTCCCGAAGCTGCCCTGCAACCACACGCCATGGGGAGGGGCCTCTCTCGGTGCCCACCCTCAGAGTCTCTGACACAGCGACTCTGGGAGTTTCTCTGAAGAGAGCTGCTCAGATACCCTGTCAAGGAACCCATCATCACGGGATTGACAGCCTCTTCTGTCTATCACGGTGGGGGAGTAGATATTTTCATCACTTGATTTTGTCCCCTTAATGCTGAGCTTAAGCTAAGCAGGAGAGATGTTATTGATGAAATGCTGTGTAGTGTATCAGCTCGCGTATGTCAGCTCCATCGATAATGCATGCCCTAGGGGCTAATAAAAGAGAGGAATTTTCACGTTTTTATAGACTATCAAACTCCAAACTCAGCTCTTCCCTATATAAATCTATTTTAATTTCAGTTTCTTCTGAAACACTTAGCTTCCCAACTGCTGTATGAAGGTGTCAATGAAAAGTGGGGTGGAAGAGGGCATATCGATGAAACGCAGAGCAGATGATTCAAGAGCGGGAATGCCTGTGAGGTCGCTGGCCGCAGGGTAGGAAGTGCTCAGAGCACTGTCTCTTCTGCCGACGATTTGCTGCATGTCACTGCCACAGCTCTCGTTTCTGTCGTAAGTCATGCATTAGGTCTTTAAGGTGCCTCCAAGCCATCCTGGAAAACAGACTAATTACATGTCCTGGTTAATTGCATATTATTACAGGTTAGGAACCACAGGTTTAGTCTGGGCTGCAACGCGGTCTCTCTGTTCCCAGGTCACGGTTTTCTCTGCTCTCTCCTCACTCGACGCAGGATAGATCTGCTCCCTGTAGGGAGAGTCAGCCCAGAGCCGAGCAAATCCCAGGGACGCCATCTCAGCCGCCGGAAATCTCAAAAGGAAAGTTATCGGTGGCAGTTCTGTGCTCCGAGGCCTTCCCAGGAGGTGCTCGTGTTGAGGAAACCGCCTGCCAATGCAGGAGAAACCAGAGACCCAGGTTTGACCCCTGGGTTGGGAAGATCCCCTGGAGGAGGAAATGGCAATCCACTCCAGTATTCCTGCCTGGAGAATCCCGTGGACGGAGGAGCCTGGTGGGCTACAGTCCATGGGGTCACAAAGAGTCGGACACAACTGAGCGTTTGAACAACAGCCCAAGGGTGTTCTCGGCACGGAGAAGAAAGCCGGCAGGACCTCTGTGTCTGCGCTTCAAGGACTGGGAACACGAGGGGACGGCATGGAGTGGAAAGCCAGCAGGACCTCTGGGTCTGCGCTTCAGGGACTGGGAACAGAGGGGACCGTGAGTCTGACTGCACGGTTGAGAAGCTGGGCAGGTGGAGGCTGGGGTTCCCTGGGGACAAACACAGATTCCCCCCCACCCCGTGCAGGCAGAAAGTGACCCTCCACAGACGCGGCGAGTGCGGCCCGCGGGGGTGTTTTATTTGCCCAGACTGTGCCGGGTCTCAGGTGGAAAGTTAAACAATTTCCTCGGGTTTTCTTATGCCTCATAGGCAGACTTGGAAAGAATCATTCCATATCACTAAGCAAATAACCTGTTAACTCGTACGTCCTTACGGACTCCAAGGGGCAGTTTGACAGAACCAGCTAAGGCAGCCAGCTTCGTCATCACCTGAAGGCCCTCCTGGCCCTCAGAGCCGTGTCAAAGCCTTTCTCTGGGGCTGGAATTCATAATTAGCCATCGTTACCTCTCAAATTGCTTCAGTTTAAATCTAGGAAGAGATTAATCTGTTCACAGTGATATTGCATATCTAACAAAACGAGAAGGAGGGCTCTGGAAGATGCTGAGGGGAAAAGGCTTATGCCGGGTGTATCGGGGTTTAGTGCAGAGTCTGGCCAGCCTTCCTCCCCTCAAAATATCCTCACGAGAGCAAAATAAGATGCTCCTGCATGTGAAGGCGTGTGGCGCTAGGTGCAGGATTATCCTCCTGCCTCCCTGGGGAAATGTGATGGTGTCATGGCCCCATTTTGTGAAGGATAAAGACAGCCTGATTGACAAAGCGATTTCCACGTTTCCAAGAAGCCAGAAACCCCAGGGCTGGACCACCTCCCCGTGCCTCAGAACTGTCGTGCGGAATTGGCAATGGGGCTCACCTCCGAAACAGACATGACTGCTCAGAAATTGAGGTCACACCTGCTGAAATTGCCAGTGGACGTTCATCCTACAAGACGTGCCATTAACGCAGTGAGGAGGCAGGGAGGCTGGGACCCGGCAGACACTCAGGCAGGTGCACGACCTGACGGAGGAGGAGCTCGTGTCTCTGACCATCGGCACACCCCTCTTCACGGAAGAAAATGTGAGCCTCATTGTCAGGAAAAACCTATGTTCTGTTTGTAAATTTTATTTTTGAAAACAGTGTTGAATACCATTGTATTATTGATGTTGGTATTTTTCTTAGGTTTCCTTAGTTGTGTTTACACTGCTGCTTTACTGGTTTATAACATCTGTACCTAGCCATTCCCACCAACATGGAAACAGTGCATTTCATACCAGTCAGTAACCCCAAGGTCACCACAAACCCCCTTCCCGGCTCCACGAACCATCTTAGGGGAAGTGGCTCCAGTGGGTCTGGCCTTGGAGCCTCCAAACAAGCATTACCTGGAACCAGAAGACCCCGGAGCCCGTGGAAGCCAGGGAAGACCCAGAGTCACGACAAGAAGGAAGAAGGGAGCACCCCAGTCCACCATCCGTGCACGGCCACAATTCAGCGGTGCTTTTATTAACTGCCCAAGTGAAGACCAGGCTTAATATATTCTGAATCTAAAATAATACAAAGGAATACAGCCGGGCAGGTGACAATAAACCAGCGTGAGCTGGAAAATGGGCTGTAACAGTTTTGCAAGCTCTCAGCACAGATCTGAGAGCTGGAGTCAAGTGCAAGGAGCTTTCATTTATCTGCGGGCGGGTACTGAGGCCTTCAGGGCCTGGGATGCCACTGGGCCGGGTTGGACCAGGCTCTGTCCTGGGTTTTCCAAAGAGCCACCCTCCCATGGGGGACTGGGAAACCTCTGAAACCTTGTCGTGATCTTGGCTGTCACACATCACTCCTGGGTTTCCCTTTCTCCCAGCCACGTAGAGCTTTTTGGAAACCTTCACTGATAAGGTCTAAAACCCAGAAAGGCTCTATATAAACAAGACAGAACCTCTCTCTCAACTTTAGCTGCTTTCACATTATTTAACCAGGTCAGAGTTTAGTAAGCGTCCCACCAGCCTCACTTCTGGGAGCACCATGGTCGAGCAGCCCAGCCCTGGTCTGTGGGCATCAGAGGGGCTTGAGCTTTAATCCTGCTGTCCTCATGGCACGCATCCCAGGCCCCGCCACCCGGGGCCCGGGGCCCGGGGCCCAAGGACCCTCGGGGCTGCCTCTGTGACATCTGACTTACAGGATAAACCCCTGCCTGGCTGCTGCGGAAAGCATTTAGACATTACAGACAAACCCCATCCTTGCCCCCTGAACACCAGTGGATTTAGGGGTTAGAGGTGGAGAGAAAAGGCAAGCAAAACACGCATGAAAGTAAACAGCACATGCAACATAAATCTATCAGTATAAAACTGACTGCGTACCCATGTGGGTGACAGAAATCTGGGGGTGGGGGGAAAGACAGGGCTGTTTAAAGAAACAGTGTTAAAAGGAAAATATGTTTACCATACAATGAATAGATTACTTTGTTACACATACAAGATTTCGTTAAACATTTAGAAAGCAACAAAATCCATCTACATGCATGTATTTCCAAAAAACACTGTGTATCTCTGGTTTAATGTCATCAGGATTAGTTATGATTCATCACCTAGTCCATCCTTCAGGAATTATTTAGCCTCAGGCTAAATAAAAAAATAGTTACTATTTTTCAGAGTACAAACAAGCAAACAAAGCAGAGAAAACATAGATAATTACTGAAACAGTGCTATTTAAGGTACACTGCTGAGGAGCCCCTCCATGCAGTTATTAATAGCTGCCTGCACTGCACAATGGCTGCCCTCTCAGCTCTTGTCCATGTGTTTACCATCCCCTCTTATTTATTCCTTTCTGTCATGAATATGCATCGGCTTCTCCTCCATCACACTCAGCCTGCTCAAGAGCAGCTGCTCCTCTGAGATTTATGCTCACTGTCTGCGCCTGGAGCTGCGAGAGGCTTCAGGAAACACCACACTCTCAGATTCATAGGAGGGCAGGCTACAGCCACACAAATCACATCCGTGATCCGTGGGCCGTAATTCCAGCCAGATCTGAGCAGCGTCACGTCTGTTATCTACAGAAACAACCATGAATTACCTCTCAAAACCGTTTTTTCACATTTCAACAATACCACTTCTCTTCATGTTTATAGGCTATTTTTGCAATGAGATATTAAAGTACTGTGCTGGGCACATAGGTTGATTGGTGGTTTTATTGTGTGCTGTTTTAAATTGAATTAAACATGCATTAAACCTTTTAAGATGAAAGCTATTTTCCCTTCTGTTATCTTTCCCCAAACATCAAAGGACTCGGCACCCACAAAATTGCTTCGGTGTTTCTTGAGTCTTGCTCAAGTTTCCCTGTTGTCTTTGGATGCTGCTGAGCTCAGAGATGAGTTTTTGCCAAATTTAATCACTATGCAAGTTCTCACCACCACAGGCATTTCTGTGCATTTCTGTTTTTATCTTAGTATTTCCTTCTTATTTTCTCTCTGACCTAACTGTCCATCACTTTGTGTTATTTGTAAGGACACTCTTTTGTAAATTATCTATAAACAGTTCTGAAATGAGGAATGGGATAGATTGACCAGATGGATGGATGAACAGATAGAAGATGGACAAATAGGGTAGATCAATACAGAGGTGATAGATATCTATATAGTTGATAGATAGGTACATACATAAATAGATGATAGAATAATTCATGATGTTATTAGTCCTCTACACCTATGTAGAAGAACATGAATCAGATTTTTGGCACTGATGACCTGGTTTGACCACAAGAGGAAACCAGAATAAAGATGAGCAAGGAGTTATTTTCCTTTTACCACTTTCCAGTAGTTTTTCTTTGCAATGAGCACTTGTTACTTTCAATAGTTTAAAATGCAGAGCATTAGCAACATGTATACTCTATAAAATAAATGCTACATAAATAAAATATTAGAAATATAAATGAGTCCATAAATATAAAGCAAATATAGGGTCGACATGTAATGTGTCTTTAAATTCTTCATATAAAAGGCATGAAGGCCGAAGCAGTGTACATTCCCATCAATAGTGCACAGGGCTGCCTTTTTTCCCACACCCTCTCCAAGTTGTTGAAAACCTAGTTTCTCATCTATTCAAAGGTGCCTAAAAGACACCTTTATTACATAAACACTGTATATTTGAAAGATATTAGCAAATAGATTATCTAAGACTGAAGAGAGAGCAAAGACAGACCCACACTGATATTTAACTCTCCACAAGAGTTTAGAGATACATATTTTCCAGTAAATTTATAGCAGAATATTAACAGCATGAGCATTAACTGGCTTTATTAAGTGAGTTTATTTTTGTTTGCTTAGTAGGTAAGATTTGTGGTAAATTAGAGTCCATGAGATTTTTAATTAAATATATTAATTATTTAGAAATAGACATGTTTATGTATACAGTGGATACTTTTACTTTTAAATAATAAAAAATAATAAAATCTAGAGGAAATTTTTGATTCACACAAAACACTGAAACTAAAAATGGCACAGACACACAAAATATATATACACATATACACACACACACAAACACATAAACACACACTTCTCACTTATTTTCTCCTGATTTCTCCTCTTTCCCCTACTTTGACACAAGGTTCATGGATAAAATTTAATTTTAATATTATTTTAATAATATTAACAGTACTAAATATTATTGTAAAGAAAATGTTTTATACCAGCTAAACAATCTGTCAACACAGTACTTTAAGGAACAGGAATTATACTGGGTTGCAAAGGCCAACGCAGGAAAAAGAGACATTTGACTTTTCAAGGATGAATTTCCTAAAGTTGTGAGGCTGCGTACTGACACGCTGGCGGAGGCGGCCCTGGACGGGGTATTTATAGCCTGTGGAGTTCACAAAAGCCGCACAAGAGCACACCCGTGGGGCAGGGGCGCTGACAGTCACATTCCGTCAGGACGAGCAGGACGCCTGGTGTGTGTGAATCGTCAGAGCCGTGTTGCGCAAGTTGCTGCTAAAATTGTCAGCCAACACCTTCTCCCTCTCCATCGCTGGCAGAAAGTTGGCACAAATTGTCCCACAGACAGCAGTCTCTTCATTACCTTCACAGCCCAGCATGGTGGATGCTCTATAAATAAAGTTTCTCCCCTCCTCATTCTGAAACAGGCAATGACGGCATGGGTGAAAATGGCTAACGTTTTCAAAAAGACAAAACTCACACTCCCTCTCAAAACCACGGTGTCTGCACCATCCTTTCCCGTGTCTGACTTGGAAAACTGGATTAAGAAAATGTCAGCTCGATGCTAAGTCTCGATTTCTTAGAAATGCGAATAGCAGAACTCAGGGAGAGGAAGCAAAATCACATATTAGTTAAGTCTGAAGTTGATGAAGTCTAAAAATTCCCAAGGGGTGACATCTCTGTGAACCAAAGACGGAGGGGAGAAGCCATTAATTTCGACATCAAACAGCCCCGTGTCCACTCTGTCAACAGGGCAAGCTGTCTTCAGTCTTATAACAACCCTGCAAAGAGTTGCTGCCTCGATTTCACAAACAGAGGGAGGAAGCCAGAGAGAACAGAGGTGCTTTACTTCAGTACCTGCAGCTTGACGAGGCGACTGCCGGATGGCTTTGGTCATTTTCATTATCAGCACATATTGTGATGAAAACAAACCAGGGGAGTGGTTGCTGTTGAGCTCTCAACACCTGGCACTTGAAACAGTTAACAGCAGCTGAGAGCAGAAATCAGAAAACCGGGAAGACGGGCCCTCCACCAGCCAACGAGATGGAGACAGATTGAAGGCAGACCTCGGTGCTTCAGAAGGCTCTAGAAACGGTCAACTCCAACTGGAGAGAAACAGCTGCTCACACCAGTCAGAACAACTAAGGTACCCACCTCTTGCAGCACCACTGCAGGGGCATCTCCAGCCATCCCGCCAAAGGTGCGACCCAGGAGACGCTCCAGGACTCATCAGAGGTGGAGCCATGAGCCCTCGGATCTGGGGAGAAGCCGGGAGAACTTGCTGCTTGGGGGCGCCAGCACTGCAGGAGGTGGGTGCTACCCCTCCTTGGGCGGGAGGTATGGTGCCAACTCTGACAAGTGGCCCGGTTCCAGCTCTCGTTATGCCTAGGAAAAGGCAAACCCTCACCACATGGAAGCAACTCGTCCCCCTTCAGGAATTTAAGACCACTTCCCACAGTTGGATGCAGGTTGCATAAAAATTTATTAACTCTTCCACTTGTGTTATTCTTCCCAGAGCTATGTTACACTCAAGCCATCATTTTATAGTGTACTTTTAATAATGGGAGAAGTGTTGTAATTGATTTTAAGTTTCTAGTTTTATCTAAGATCACTTCCTTTGCCTGTCAACTTCTTATTTTTCAAGAGAAAACTGCACAGGGTCCAAAAACCATGCAAATTCCACCTCTCTAAATGGTTGCAAACTTAAAATGATATTACGTTGCTTTATGTTTAAAAGCAAATTAATACAAAAAGAGCATTTCCTGAATATTCAGCCCATGCCAGAATTTCTCCTTTTCCACTGGCCCTTCCCACCTCTTGGGTATTCCATCCACCCGTACCTGACAAACTTCTCATCACTTAGGGAAAAAGCAGCATCTTAGAAAGAAGATCATAAGCATGAGAGAAATGATGTGAAGGTATGCACTGCTAGTTGATGAGGCTAACTGTTCCTAGTGGTGTTTCCTGGTGTTGTAATTACAAACAAGCTAAAGGTGGTCTGCCAGGTGAAGGGGGAGGGGAGTGAAGATGCTAAAAGTCCCTTAAAATCAGGAACAGAGAACTTCAAGAAGCCAAATTTATGCAGCGGAGCCACACAGTCCATGACTGAGAGGAGAGGTGGTGGGTCAGAGGACAGGGAGCCTGCTGGCGCCAGGTGGAGGCTGCAGGGCAGGGCTGGTCCTGCGAGGAAGCCTCAGAAACCCCTCAGGTCAGTGAGGAAGTTCTCCCAGCTGCCCCCATGCCCACAAGAGCCAGTTTACAGTCAGGAACCCATGGCCAGGGGAGGGGTCACTGACCCTCGTCTAACTAAGAAGTGGGATCCAGGCCAGCTGATCGTGGGATCCAGCTGATCGTGTGTGCGTGCTTGTGTGCTAAATCGCTTCAGTCATGTCTGATCTTTGTGACCCCATGGTCTGTAGCCCACCAGGCTCTTCTGTCCATGGGATTCTCCAGGCAAGAATACTGGAGTGGGTTGCCATGCCCTCCTCCAGGGGATCTTCCTGACCCAGGGATCGAACCCGTGTCGCCTGTGGCTCCTACATTGCTGGCAGATTGCTTACCACTGAGCCACCGGGGAAGCCCAGAGCCGATCATCCCTGCACTCTTTCCCTAAGAAGGGTTGTTTTCTCTAGGCTCCACCTCCTTGATTTCTTTTATTGTCTTATGTTGTGTGCATGACTCATGTCTTTTTAATCAAGAGGGAACTTTGGCTGCAGGTAAACACAGACTGAGTTGAGGGCACTGGAGAATCAGGCTCAGGGGACCAGGGACCCACCTGCCCCTCCCAGCCCAGCAAGGACCTGCCGGGCTGTGGATGGTGCATCTGGAGGCCTGTCCAGGGAACTCATGTCGCTGTGAGTGTCGATAGCAGAAACACGTGGGGCAGAGCAGCTGCAGAGTGGAGCAGTCTGCCTCCTAAGCCTCCAGAGGAAATGATGAACTAAACTTAAAGACGCCTTCTGGGAACTTGTGAGTTTGCATTGAGGGCAGAAATGAAGTGCTCAATAGAGGTAATCTGCTTGAATCATCCCCAGACCATCCCCCCCCAACTCTGGTCTGTGGAAAAATCATCTTCCCCGAAACCAGCCTAAACGATGGATTCTATCTAATGAAAGTCAGTCTGGGGATCTACAGGTAACAAGGAGTCACCTAACGTTTTTCAGACAGAAGCTTTCTTTTTTGTATGATTGCATTTCTTCAATGAAGAATCGTTGATGTAAAATATTATATAAATTGCATGTGTACACCATAGTGATTCACAGTTTTTTAAGGTTATACTCCGTTGTGTATGTATGTGTGTGTGAGTGTGTGTTAAGTCGCTTGGTACTATCTGACCCTGCAACCCCATGGACTGTAGCCTGCCAGGCTCCTCTGATCCATGGGATTCTCCAGGCAAGAGTACTGGAGTGGGTTGCCGTTTCCTTCTCCCAGTGATCTTCTCCAACCCAGGGATTTGAACCCAAGTCTCTTGCAGCAGCAGGCAGATTCTTTACCACTGAGCAACCTGGGAAGCCCACGTTCCATCTACAGTTATTGCAAAACAGTGAGTATATTGTGTGTTGTAGAGTACATCCCTGTAGCTTATTTTATACCTAATAGTCTCTACCTTTTAGCCCCCTCCCCCATGCCCTCTCCCCACTGGTAAGCACTAGGTTGTTCTCTACATCTGTGAGTTTTCTAGTTTGTTGTATATTTTAAACTCCACATATAAGTGATATCATACAGTATCTGTCTTTCTCTGACTTATTTCATGTAGTGTAATATGCTCCAAGTTCATCCATGTTGTCGCAATGGCAAAATTTCATTCTTTTTATGGCTGAGTGGTGAAACAGAAGCCTTCCCTTTGTCAGTGCTTTGCTTTCAAAGGGTCAATTGGGCCGCAGGCGGTAGCCAGGTAAGGGGAGTGGGAGGATGCAGACCCATGGAGGAAGCCAGGGAGGTCTTGGTCAGAGGGATTGAGGGTCTGAACCAAAGTAAGGACACAGAAGGACGTGAAGAGGGGGTGTAGACTATGTGTGCATGTTCAGTCACCAAGTCGTGTCCAACTCTTTGTGACCGCATGGACTGCAGCTCCCCAGGTTCCTCTGAGTGTTCCATGAATGTTCATGGCAATCTCCAGGCTACAATACTGGAGTGGGTTGCCGTTTCCTTCTCCAAAGGATCTTCCCAGCCCAGGGATCGAACCCACATGGCTTGTGTCTCCTGCATGACCAGGCGGATCCTTTACCACTGAGCCGCCTGGGATCACACACGTGAGACAGTCGGGTCGCTCCCTGACATCTGCCCCTCCTGCGTGTGTGTTCCGTTGTTCGGCCGTGTCCAACTCTTCTGTGACCCCCTGGGGGTGAGTCCACCCGGCTCCTCTGTCCCTGGGATTTCCCAGGCAAAATACTGGAGTGGATTGTCATTTTTTCTTCCAGGGGATCTTCCTGACCCAGGGACGGAACCTGTGTCTCCTGCAATATAGGCGGGTTCTTTACCACTGAACCACCTGGAAGGCCCCTTATTTGCCCCTTACAGAATGGTATTCTTCTTTCTGGAATCCATCACAGCTTCAGGGAAGAGAAGAGCCTTTCGAGGGTGGTATTCATCAACAGAGAGGTAACCAAGACGGAGACTGAGTAACAAATGAAATCATTCAGTTAAAGAGCATGATGCTTGATAAATTAAGAAATCATCTCCCTACAGAAACCACCACTCACCTGTGAGCTGTGTCCCAGACAGAAAGCGCATAGCAGACAGCAGTATAGGGAATCATGTTTGTGCCCAGAACATCATCTAAGATTGACGGACGGCCACAAATGCCGCACCCCACGTAAGGATCCGCGTGGGAGGGGGCCCACGCCCCCTGCCTCACCCTTTAAGGCTTGGACTTGATTAAAACACGTCTTTGCATGCCATCTTTATACAAATACTCCCTGAGGCTGCCCATTTGAGAAAAGTGGCAGACAGGGATAATGTAGAAAAAAATTCCTCCTGCAAATACCCAGAAGTGCTGCTACTGCAGTTTCTCAGTGGAATGTGAGGCCCCGGCAGCAGGAGCCGAGGAGCTGGGGGTGTCGGAGTTGGGGGAGACGGAGCTGGGGGAGATGGAGTTGGGAACGTGGGAAACGGAACTGGGGGAGATGGACCTGGGGGAGACGGAGCTGGGCATGTGGGCTGGCCGGGCTCCGGGGCCTCACAGGGCAGCCGGCTGGTGCACTGAACACAGGAACTTCCTGCCGAGGAGGTGAACGCGTGCTGGAAAAAATGCAAAGCTCCCCGCTTTCTTGCTCGATGCACATGTGTGGTGAACAGGAGCACAGGCAGTGACCACTGAGCAGCAGGGCCCCCGGGTCCTGAAGTGGGGGGACAAGGAGTGCGCGAGACCCTAGGGTGCAGGCGGGATGGGTCATTTCTGTGACAGACTGAGGCAGGTGACAATAGCAGAGCCAGGGAAATGGTTGAGCATCCTTTTTTTTTCCTTCTGTTAATCTTTAGAAGGGAAAACATGGACTGATGTACCTGTGCATTTTCTTACGTTGCACGAAAGAGCTGAGGCCTCTAAAAAAGCCACCAGGCGGCAGCCTTGAGTGGAGTCCCGACAGGGCGGAGTGGTCCGCGCATTCCAGGCCACCCAGTGCAGCGAGCACAGCCCGCCTGCGCCCGCCCATGGGGACCGGCCCGCCTGTGCCCGCCTGTGGGTACCGGCCCTCCGGACACCATGCTCCTTCCTCGCCCAGCGCCGAGGTTCACCCCTGGGCCCTGAGCCCCTCTCACCCTGCTGCCCCCAGGGTCCTGGCCCTCTGCCAGTTAATAAATGCCTGCTGACCCTCCAGGTGCTGCGGGTGAGACCACGGGCCCCCTGCTTCCCTGTTCTCACCTTTTGGGCTCGTGGCCGCCATCTGTCCCCAGGCATTGACCAGTTTCTTTAAATGCTCTCTGTGGCTCAGTTAGGACCTGAGGAGCTAGCCTGAAGCATGGACTCCCCAGGCAGGGCCGCCCCCCGGAACCCCCAGAACCACCAGAGCTGGGCCCCCAACCTGTTCCAGCCCCCACCCCGGCTCCAACGGAGCCCCCAGTAGAACCACAGGCACAAAGGCCAGTATCCTAAACCTCTGATCCGAGGAGGAAACCTTGGAACTACTGAAAAATCCCAAGAGCCTTTCAGAATGTCCCATGAAGGAGACAGAAGGTGAGGTCACCACAGAGGGGCCCGAGGCTACCAGGGAACTGGCCACTCAGGGCATTCCTAGGACACCCAGATGGCACTCAGCTGGAGAACTGGGGGTCCCCCCCATACAGTGAGGGCAGTGAGCACAAACGGATGGAGGCTTGTCGGGGTCCCCTCTATAGTGAGAACCCTGGGCGCACACGGATGCAGGCTTGTTGAGGTCCCCTCTACAGTGAGGGCAGTGAGCACACACGGATGGAGGCTTGTCAGGGTCCCCTCTACAGTGAGGGCAGTGAGCACACACGGATGGAGGCTTGTCAGGGTCCCCTCTACAGTGAGGGCAGTGAGCGCACACGGATGGAGGCTTGTCGGGGGTCCCCTCTACAGTGAGGACCCTGGGCGCACACGGATGCAGGTTTGTCCAGGGCTCCTGGGTGGCTGGTTCTGAGAGAGCCAGGACTAACCCTCGTGCTCCCTCGGCTGTGTTCCCCACCCCAACGTGCTTTTCTAGGGCAATGCATTAAAAGCAGTGAAAGGAACGACGTCTGGGTACCAGAGAAGCCGTCATCTGAGTGAAATAAAAGCTGCTCAGCGAGTGCAGCTGGTGGACAAGGCTGACTGATGAACAGGACGCAGGAGAGGGACCGCGCTGTGCTCGGGGTCCCGGATCCATGCCGAGTGGGGTGCTGCATCTTCCCTTCACTTTTAACACAGCCCTTAAGTGTACCTGGTTTGTATGCCCCCTTTGTTTAAAAATACCATCATAAGTCTGTGCTAAAATGCCAGTATAATCTTATGCTTAAATGACGTTTAAATGGATTTTCAACTACTTTATGCCAAAAAAAGAGATGGTTATATGTACACTTTTGTTCCATTTCTTTATTTAACTGTACATCCAAGGGGGCAACTACAATAAAAAACAGACGCCCCTCCCAATGAACCACATTGTTCACTATAAAACAGAAGATGATAGAGGTTGCTCATGCCGACCAGCAGCTTCCTCTCCCAAACATCCATTGTAAGAAAGTCCTTTAAAAAATCAAGAGGCAGAGCAACCACTGAGAAATGCTCAAGGACAGACAAGGGCAGCTGGGTGGGCACAGCTCCCCGAAGACCCCAAAGCTCCTCCAGGTCCTCCAGTCCCACTCCCGCCCCACAGCCCTGCAGCGCTGGTGGATTTAATGGGAAAAGTCCCAAAGCTGTAATTTACTGCTTTGAAAAATGAGGGAGCCTGCTGCGTTTGACGTGCTTCTTTGAAACACAGAATATTTAAAATCCATACCCCAAACTTAATGCATGGATAGATCACATCTTTTTATGGCTTCGCTGGTATAAGAAGAGCCTCATAACCTCTCACAAGGTATGTTTTATTCCTTGTAATGTGTATCACATGAAGATTAAGAGGCTATATTATCGCCTTCAAAATGACCTGCTATTTCCTGGAAACAGTAATTTGCCGGACCTGTCCTTGCCTCTGGGGCGAGCATAACACCCTCAGTAATCTTCCGTTCACTAAGCAGCGTGTCTGCGACAGAAAGATGGGTCTGGCCTGGCCATGCCGACGGGCATGCAGTGGCTCAGTGCCCGCTCTCCGAGTGACATCTAGAGGTGGTGAGCCCCAGCGCAGGCACTGGCTGGCAGGGCTTTCTGAGCTTTCGTTAACTTGTCCTGAAGAGTGCACCCTCGAGGCTGAGAGTGAACATGCCTAAGAGCTCGGGCATCTCATCCCTTCACGCTGAGCCGGACTGCAGAAACCTTCCCAGCGGAGAGGGGAGCACAGGGGTGGGGCTGAACCGAACCTGGGGCAGGTATGCACTGAGGACAGAGAAGCCCATGGAAGCTGCAGAACCCGGAGCCACCAAGAAGCTGGCCCTGGAGAAGAGCAGGAGCGCCTGCTGGGCTGACCTCTGTGGCCGCCTGCCTCCCGTGAGAACTGAGAGGGGGTCCAGCTCCCCTTCTTGGTCACGTCGCAGTCACAGCCCTAATGCAGCTCTTGCACCTGCTGGAAACCGTGTTTGCAGAACCCAGCCCTGCAAGGCACTAGCCCAGGACCCCAGACATGGGAAACGACTCTCTGTGACACAGAAGCAAAGCCCTCGCTCCCCAGCTACGGATGCTTTCCCCATCGACAGACACACAAACCTACCTTTATTTACTTAAACAATTGTTTGAATCAGTTTTTTAAAAGATGCTTTCATAAATACCCACCCACTGATGAGACGCTTTCAGACGAGTCACAAATGTGTGTCTGCTCATTTGTTTCACGCCATCATTACCGTGAATGCACTTTTATGAAATTTAATTTCTCAATCTATTTATGGCTTTTAATTTTCTATGTCATTAACGTTCACATGTGGATTCTCACTGCTCTCCTGGGTGAAAAACCTTTCATGGAAAAAAAAAACACATGTTTTCCCAACAGCAGCACATTTGTCTCCCTCGGAAGGAGGCAGAAGAGTTATGCTCAAGCCTGAGTAACAGCACGGGCATTGTTCACAACCCATTCACGTCTGTCTGCAGTGTACATAAATACCCAGCAAGGGCTCCTTCTATTTTGAGAATGGATATGCAGTTGGGGTCAGCACAGGAATGGGCTTCACTCTGTGTTTATTGACTGGGGAAAGTGGCGGGGGTTTTCAGGAAAGGATTCAGGTGGAATCCTAGGAAACCAGAGGCCTCTCTCAGGCCGGGGTGTCCTGGCTGCGGGAAGTTGCAGGGAGCAGGGCGCATGCGGGAGTCTGGACCCCTCTCCACCCGGGACGCCTGGCTCCTCAGAGCATGAGGCCCGCCGGTTCCTGCTGTGAAGCTGCCCCGGGTCCTGCAATTAACCAGACCAGATCGGGGACACGAGCAGGCTGACGTGCTGGGAACTGCTTGGTACAGGAGAGACACCAAAAGTTGCCTTTTGAAGTTTTATTGTCTGAAGCGAGAGAAAGCAGAGAGCAAGAGGCACATGTGCTGACCCCCTCAGCATCTCAGAGCCCCCAGGCCTGCAGGCATCATGGACAGAACACCCCAGCGAGGCGTCAGCTCACCCCCAGCCCACCCTGTCCAGGGCAGGCAGACACAGTTGTACGGGGAAACGCCCTTCTGCTCAGAAGGACGAAAACTACTAACAACAGAACACCAAGATAAAACCACAACGTGCGAGGGGCTGTCAGGCCCGGCGGGCCGCCACCCGCGGGGATGGCACGGCCCCAGCCCTCAGTGGGCGGGTGAGGCGGCGGCCGCGGGGAGGAGCTTGGGCTTGGCCTGCTGGGGCGGCACCACGTCGGGGATCTGCTCCCCATACTTATATACGCTGACCGTCAGGTCGATCTTCTCGCCGCCGTACTTGTTCTTCACGTGGATGCTGTACTTGCCGGAGTCCTCGGAGGTCACGCCCTTGATGGTCATGCTGACATACTTGGCCTGCTCCACCTTGACCGAGAAGTGGTCGCTCAGCTCGATGTCCTTGTCGTTCTTGAACCACACGACCTCTGGGTCAGGGTTCCCAAACACCGTGCAGGTCAGGTTCAAGGTCTTGGGGGAAGAGCAGGCGCAGAGGGGGAGAGAGAGGAAGAAGAGTCAGGCAGCCTCTGTGTGGCTGGACCCGCGACCCCACCCAGGTATTGATCTGCCCCACCCATCATGTATTTGGTCAACTTGCTCTTTGTATATGGAGGCACCGCTGGAGACCCCAGGAGCCTCAGACACGGAAGGTCTCCCGTGGTGGAAGGGGTGCTCTGTGTGTTCGGAAGAATGAACCATCCGTCTCTCGAGGAGACGAGGTCCACAGAGGCAGCCCAGGCCCGGCAGGACGCAGGGACGCAGGACCTACCCGGCTCCAAACTGGTAGGATGCAGGGACCCCCCACACCAGCTTCACACCCTGGGCCCACGTGAAGACCCCCCGCCATCCTGGGCACCCCCCCACCCCCCCACCCTCACCTTCCCCTCCATGATGGTCACCACGTCGGGCAGGCCGCCGATCACCTTGCCACGATCTGCAACAGGAAAGCAGCTTGGCTGAGAACACCATCCGTGGGGCTGTTCCTGGGAGTCGGGGCACCCAGGGGCCAGGGGGGCTCAGGTGTGGGGGTGCTGCCCGACAAGGCTCATGGCTGAGGGGCCCCCGGCTGAGGTCCGAGCAGAGGAGTGAGTGATTCCATGTTGGGAGGGGCTGGCAGGGTGGTGGGCAGAAAGGGGGCTTGTGAAACACTCGAGAAGCTCAGACTCTGAGCGGGGCTTCAAGGGTGAAGATTCACCCCGGCCACAATGCCGGGTAAACCGAGTCCTCCTGAATTCCTTGGGAGCTGGAGGGGCCTGGCCTCTGGAGAGAGGATTCTGCAAGAGCAGTGTTTTGTATATATAATATATATATGTGTGTAGTTTTCTGTCTCCTGTGATGTTCTGACATCTGAAATCTCACCTGGCTGGGCAGATAACCCCCACCAGCCAAGGGCCCACGAGGAACCACCTGTGACCTGTGCCAACCCCCCGGCAAGGCCAGCCTCCACCACCTGCCCTGCCCCCGGAAGGGACACTCCTCTGCCTGGATCACCCCAGCCGGGTGTCCGGCAGCTCAGAACACCCCTGTTGCCTGAAGCCCAGAGATATCACTAGAATGAGCCAGTCTCATGTTCACCCCACCCTACCTGCCTTTCCCTGGAAACCCC